AACTTAAGATGCGTCAAGAAAGCATATTACAATTCACCTAACAAAACAAGTAATGGAAACAAGGAACTCGACTAGTTACGAGTAAGACATATAAAGGTGTGGTATGAAGTAGTAAATAAACATTTGAAGGTTCAAATGGAAAAAGGTAGCATGTTCTAAGATGGAAAACGGTCATAGTATTTGCCAAACAAAAAATATACAAGTTCAAATAGAAACTTAGTCATTGAGCTAAAATTTGGGCAGCACGCCCTTTTGTATTTACCTATTTTCCAGCCATTAATGGCTTCATTATTTTCCTCAAATCAGTCCCAACATATAGAATAATCTCATGTCCAAAAGCGGTTCACTAGGCTTAAAGTCATATAAATACAAAAATCAAGATAGAAACATTTCCGGATAAAAACAGTTTTTAACATCATTTTACGGTTTTGGTACCAATGGCGCTACGATTATCGGATGAAAGTGCAAGGCACACCGTTTCGAAGCAAACAGATAGTGCTACAAGGTTGCAGAAGGTCACTCAGTCCAGTTTCGAGTGTAACTAGGTCAAATATGCAATATACTACACTAGAACAGCAAAAACAGGTTCACAAACCGCATTCTGGTTCAAACATCATAAGTCAGGCTACCTAAGTCCAAATTGGGTGATTCCAAAGCCATCCAAAAGCTAAGATACAAGGCTACAATTCATAAGAAGACATCAACAACCAAATCAGAAGTATTCCCAGCCAAAATAACCAATTACAGAAGCAATTCTCAAGTTCGGGTAAAACCAGGGCACCAGGGGTATTTCAGTGTTTTCACAAGATACGATGCTCCGATTGACATGAGATTTTGTAGGCATCTCTCAAATATCATTCCCTACAACTTTCATGTTTTAACCCAAGGCCAATTCGGCCTCTAACTATGAGGTACAGTGCCAGGCAGAATTGGGGAAAATGAAACCCTAACTTTTAAATTTTCTTTCCAAAACAGAAATTTTCTGCAATTAACCACCATTCACACTCTAAGGCTTCATTTTAGGTCATTTCCAATCATCATACATGCCCACAACATATGAATCATATGAAAACAGAAAAATCCCAAATAAATATAAAACTTCACCAATTTCAACCAAAATCACAAAATAACACCAAAAATTATCTCCTTAACTCACATAGGTCACTAATTAAGCATTATTGGAAAGACAAGAGTAGTCCCTTAGTCACTCACCTTATAAGACAAGAAAGGAAGCAATTCAACACCTTAGCCTTCCAAACAACTTTACCAACCACCTTACAAGCACTAAACTAAGAGGTTTTATGGAAGGAATTCAAGATTAAACGGTTAGTTTGTGAGATTGGGCAAGATTGGAGCAAGAAACTTGGAAGCTTTTCTTTCTTTTCTTGTAGGAAGAGGTTCGGCCAAGAAGCTTTGAAATTTGGAGAGTTTTTGGTCAATTTTTGGGTTTATTTAGTAAAATGGTAAAAAGATGAATAGTAAGTCAAATGTAGGAATAAATCTCCAAGTGACACATGTCACTTTCATTAATTGCTTGCCTAACTTTTTGTCTCTCTCACACCTATCCACTTGGCAACCTCTAAATATCTCATAACACCCGGTAAATTAAACCCAGTATCCAAAACTTAACCTAACTGGCCCAATTTTTCTGAACTTTTCGCACTAGCGAGTCCCACGTCCGATATACGCTCTTATTTCTCGAAAACTAACCGATACTAGAAAATCATCTAAAAAAGAATATTTACTCATAAAACTTATCTAGAATTTTTCCTAATAAAGAAATGCAGAAAAATATGCCATTAAATAGAATAAAACCCAGAAAATGAGAAAATTACGGGGTCTCACATTCTCTCCACAATTCAGTCAAATTTCAACCTAGAGTTGTTGCTTCACCCAATAAAAGACAGAACAGGTATGCAATTTCAGTCAATTTTGAAAAAACACAAATATTCATGGGATTTGAGAACAATGCTGAAATTTTACGGTTGATAGTACTTTGAATCTAGTTTCAAATATAAGAAACGAAACTCAATTTTGACTTTTTTCTACATCAAGATATAATTGATTTCCTAAAACTTCCCAAGGTTCCTTGCGAAAAAATTTTCAACGGCACTTCCTTTCTGTTTACAATTTTTTTTTTGTCTTCAGTCAATTCAAGGCTTCATTCTTCCCACAAAATAGCTTCAACTCAAGCATATACACACCAAGCCAGAAACTCACTAAATCAAGCATATAACTGTCACCTACTCAAGTTAGAAAATGAAACCCTAATCTGAAATTCCTAATCACAAGCTGAACGTTTCTTTAGGCAAGTTAAACTAGCATATAAAAGCTAGATATTTCACATAGCAAAGCTACCAAACCATGGCCAACACTTAAGCATCATGTGTGGGCAGAAAATTACGATAAAACTGAAAATTTCACTACACAACTTCAAACCATGAAATTTTCTCAGGAAACTACCGAAATTGAAACCCTAAACCACTAGTTTGCATATATTGGAAGGAGAGGAGAGTTTATTGCCAAAGTTGCCTTGCACCTTCAAGAAAAATGCAAGCTTAATGCTTTTCCTCCAAAATCTCTCCACTCTTGCCACTACCAAAATCTATCTAGAGAGAAAATCATAATAGTGCAATGGCTAAAACATCATGCTAAATAAAATCAGTGAAAATATCAAAAGTGAGAAATGACACAAACTTTAATCTCAATAAAAGAAGAGTTAAAACTTGGTTACTATTCTTGCTAGTTCTTAAACCCATACACTGTCCATTGAATAATTTCTTCCTTTTGAATGACAAACAAAAAATTTTCACTTACTTAAAGACTAAAATATAGGGATAGACTCATGGACAAGGATCCAATACTGGCCAACCACCAATATTTAATAGCACTTATTAAAATAGCTGGTACCAAGTCCACTGTTCTTAACGGGAATACGGCTTACTACATAAAATTTCACTACGCACAGTCCAATGATCACAACTATTTCAGGCAAGATCTCACTAATGGCTAACTTGACAAGGGATATCTTGAGATGCTATTCGAGTAGGGAAATGTACTAATTCAAACTTATTGCGTACCTCTTCTGAAATCCCTTCATAAGTAGTTCAATTTTCTCCAAGTATTCTTGTTCCCTTCGTCCTTCCCAGTGCTCAGTTAATCTTTTTTGGAACTCTACTTCCATTCGAATAATCTCTATTTTCTTATGCAGATCAGTCATATTTGTCACCTTGCTAACTCACTTAACTCAATAATAGCTTGCCAGGCAACTCTAATTACGATTGGCTTCATGGAAGCTTTAGTTGTATAACTTTTAAGTTCATTCATTTCCAATCCAACCACGAGGGATTAAACTTAGCTACTCTCAAATGAGATAGACGAGAAAGTAGAACACAAGTGGGACAATACTTCAAAATACTATGTCACTTATTCCTATTCTGGAGTATTAGCACAAGGAGTACCATTGCCACTTACATACATAACGAATCCCCAATAGCGTACTTTGTATGTCGAAAGTTCCACATCCTATCTCAAGCTCTTGCATACAGGTATAGAACCCAATTCTTTTCTCAAATTCCCGTGCATAATTCCAAAATTCACGATCTCACCACAATAATAATCGGGTCAAGTCCATACTTAGACATTAGTGGATAGTTGTCAAGAAAGTATACGAAAGAATATCACAAAACTTATCAAGTCTTCACAGTCATAGGAGAAGAAAATAGGTCTTCAGTACAAATTTCTCAACGTACACTACAATCTAGCCACCATCTATAGAAACTCTAACAAACTATTTCTAGATTAGTCCATAATAACCTTCCAAGATCCACTCCCTCAATCAGTCCCATTACCAGGTCAAATGTTAGAATCTTCCGCGCCTTGACTTTTACCATCAAAACTTATCTCAAGTGCAAGCAAGATACAGACCCTTATTCTAGCGCTCTCAAGTTTTTGTACTCAAGTACAAGAATCCACAATAAGATAATTCACAACTCGAGCCGGTCGGTCGTAAGAGTAAATCACCCATATTAGAGATTCCTACCCGACGTACATATCTATTTCTCCCAAGTACCCTAATAAAGGGTTTATGCTTATAATAGTCTTGATTCATAGCTTCTGCCCAAGAACACCACTTGATCCCAAACTCACTCTACGCAGAGACCACGTAAAACAGCAAAATTATCTTCCATTCATTCAAACCAATTCTCGACAGTTTCGAGATCTGGTCCTCTAAAAAATTTAGGAGGAGAGAATTTTTGAAACCATTTCAGGGCCCTATCTTCATGGTTCTTTTGCTGGTTACCAGGTACTTGACCTTGCTGGTTAACCAAACGGGCTAGTAAATCAGTCATTTGATTGATAGCCGTAGCTACCTGGTCCCCTCCTTCAACTCTGGGTCCCTGGTTCTGATTGGCTACAGACTCTTATTCCTCCTCTTAGTCATGGACCAGCCCAGATCTATGCCTATGGCCCCAACCACGTTGCCGTCTAGTCTCCATTATTACTCATTGGTCTAGGAGCCAAGTATTATAACTAACAGGTAAGTAAGTATTGGTACATGTCAGATACTTATTCATTTTTTGAAAGTCAAATAAAAATGAAATCGGACTCACGATAAGTGAGTGAAATTGCAAAGTAGTTAAATGCCAATGTCGAAATAAAATCAAAGTCAAAGTTAATGCCAAGACCAAAGTCAAAATCAAAGTCACAATCACCGTCAAAGTCGCAGTCACAATCACAGTCAATGTCACCATCACAGTCAAAGTCAAAGTCATAGTATTATACATTCAAAGGCTCATAGCAGTTCTTTACAAAATAACAAGACCAAAAATATCAAGTACGAGCCTCAAAAATATAGATACAGCCATACAGTCATATCAAGTAAAAACCTTGTGTAAGTAGCCAAAAGAAAGTAGTACAACTACAGAGTCAACACATCCTCTATCCTCTCTATGTACAGTAGTCAAAATCACCCAAAATAGTAGCCTAGAATTAAAGGCTTAGTCCGCCGCGGGACTAGCTGACCTCTCAGCTTGGGCAAGTTCAACTCCTACCTCGCCTCCAATGTAAAAAGTCTCATCGCTCACATCTAAAAGTAAGTCATCACAAATATTCAAAATCGATTCAACTCTATTCCTCACATTCATGGCCCTCTTAATCATGCACTCTTGAGCTTCTCCAAGCTGTGCACAAAGGTCATCAACCCTTTCTCGGCCCTCGACCACATCATACTCAAGCTCCTTAATCCGATCAGTTTGCGTTTTAATAGTTTCCTTCAGTTGATTCACTTCAGTTTCAAGCCTAGCATTGTCCTTTGCAAGCACCTCCCACTCCTTCACAATGGCCAACACTACTTCATTAGGATAAGTGTAAATATGCTGACACTCACAACGCCTATAGCGGTCAGATGGGCTCCAATAGGCTCTAACTCCTCCAAGTCTGGTCTAGTATCTAATCATCGGTAAGTCCTCACGGGGCATCTCGCCAACCGGTCTATCGCTAGGGCCACTAGATCCGTCCCGTCCATCATACAAAAAGTGTAAAGGAAACTTAAGTACTCTTAAGGGGAAATGGTCTAATATAATCCTCAAGTCAAAAATTTCTAATTCACTCAGGCCAATTCAAAACTAGGCTCTAATTTTTATCCCTATCAGCGGTCACTCAACTTTCAAACCAAATCCCATAGGCTGGAATCCTAAACTTTTAAGTCTAGGATACACTACAAAGATCTGAAACCTAAGCTCTGATACCAACTGTGACAGCCCTACCTCTCCCTAGGACGAACCCTAGGGTATGAGCGGACTGCCTACCCAGCTCTCGCTGGGGCTTGGTCGATCAAAGTACTAATAACTCAAATGAAACGAATGAAATATCTTCCATTGCAAGGGAATGTAACCCTAAATAACACATAATCACTTCACCAATTCTCCAAAAGTTTAGTATACATATAGCCAAAAGTCAACTTACATAACAAGAGTTGAACTTATAGGTTTTAGCTTACAAGAGTCAAAAGTAAGGTCTACTTAAGCAAAAGTTACAATCTCAAATACAGGTCCAAAATAATGTAAAGCTAAGAAAGCTCTTGATCAAATCCATCCCAGATCTGTTAAGGAAAACAAAGGGAGTGGGGTGAACTAATGCACAGTGAGGTTCCAAGTAAAACAAGTAAACACATAGCCAAATAAGGTCACAAAATAATCAAATAAACTCCGTGCAGTAAGTCAGTAATTTAATCACAGTTCAATTCAAGGATACAGGTGGCTTTCAAAAGCCAATAATGTGAGAACCCTAAAAATTTCCATAATTTCTCAGCCTTTTTGGTTTATTCTCACTTCCCCTTTTAAGTGAAATTTGTTAACTATTTGTTTATACAAAGGAAGGTTTTGTTATTATGTGTTTTTATGTGTGAGATATGTATATATGTGTATGTGTTGGAAGTACGGTTGAGCACAGCAATCGAATTCGGGAAAAAAAATTTTGTGAAAAGGCTGAAGGGCTAAATCCGGCCAAGAACTGGCCGGATTGTTGTGGCTTTTTGAAAAAAAATTGATTTCCTCTCTAGCCAGTATCCGGCTAGGAATCCGGTCGGATTGTGATGTGGCATAGGCGGCCACCAACTTTGACCGCTTGTTTTCTTCTCTTTTTATACTGTTTTGGCACCAAAATATCTTCATTTCTTCCTTAGCTCAGCCGGCTGCCTTGAGAGAAACCAAGAAAGTTCTTTTTTTTCTAATTCCAATTTCTACTCAAATCTTGAGATTTCACCGTTAGATTTTCAAACTACTCCGTACAAGTGCTAGCTAAGCAGGGTTAGAGGTCTCGGTGGAGTTGTTTTTAGAGAAAAAGGCTTAAGTTTCTACCTTTCTTGAGTTATAAGGTGAGTTGCTAAGGAAGTTCTTGTTTTGTTTTAATAATGGTATATTGGTGGATTGTGAAGATTAAAGATGCAATATTGTGGATGATTTCATGGTTTTAGGTCAAGTTGGACCATTTTCTGATTTATTGGGGATTTTTCCGATTTTATATGATAGTCATGGATTGGTTTTGATTTGATAGCTCTAAAAGGTGTTAAATGGAACTTTTATGCGTTAATTGCGATCGTTTGCGGAAAATTTACGCTTGTGAGGATAAATTCCGGTTCTAGGGTTTTATTTTGGGGGTTTTCTTATGGTTGGCTTTTGAGTCTCTAATTGGCTTTGATTGAGGGGTTTTGTGCCCTAATTAGATATGTTTTATTACCTATGGACCATATGTGTGATTGTAATTAATGGTATGAGAATGGGTTTTTTATTTGTAGGGTGAGAGTGAAGAAAATTAGGGGAAATGCTGTCCGTTTCCTTATCTTGTCTTGTAAATGAGTTAAAGTGGTTTTGCAAATGTGTTTTGTGTCGAGTTGGACGTTTTTCCTTGAAAATTTCATCGGTTCTTTCAATAGGTGTTCGAGGGCTAAGTTTCTATTTGAACTTATATATTTCCGCTTGGCAAATAATGTGTGTCACGCCCCACTTTTTGATAGTGTGTGTGTGGAGTGTGTGAGATATGTATGTGAACGTGTGAAAGTGAAAATAAAGGCCGTGGGATTGTGAAATGCGACGGTTTGGCCAAATAAAGTTCAAAAAGGGCTTTGGATGAAAAACGGAGTCGCCACTTGGTATAGAGTTAGGGTGTACCAAGTCACCCAAAAATGATTTTTGTTTTTGAACGAAAAAGTAAGTAAAACCCTTTTTAAAACTTTTAGGTCTACGTAACCAAAGAAAGGGATCGGGGGTCACATTTGGTAAGGGAGAAGGCAAAGGCGGAGCCTAAGGCACTCCCTTACCCTAGCCAAAGCTAGTTGCGTGACTTAGCCTCACGATTCCTAATTTTTCTACCCAAGGTATGTATCGCATGTTGGATATGACTAGATGGATGCAAAACCTAGACCTAGGGGGGCATCGGGGGAAAATTTCTCTTCAAAGCTTGAGTGGTGCCAATCACATTAATTGTAATGCCCAATGATGATCCTTTGGAGAGGTCACACATAAAACTAAATGACGTAAAAATGAGTGAAATGAATGCATGCCAAGTGAAAATGTGAGTTTGTGTGTAATGAAAAAGTAATAAAAATAATAGTGGGTATGTGGAAGTGTGCAAATGGATTTACAAAGTAAGGTGAGTAGAAATGATAATGTGAAAATAACATAAAGTGCATGTGTGCGAGTGATATTGTATAAAGTGTGAGTGGTAGAGTGAAAACGTGCAAAATTAAAGTCGTGTGAAGTGAGAATGTGGAAAAAGGGATAGAATATAAAGCAGAAGTGTACGTGATAGTGAATGAATAAAATGCATGAACCCTAGAGGAATGTATCAAAACGGGAACGGGGACTCCTAACTTTGTGACTTTAATTTTCCCTTGGATTAGAAGGAAGAACTAGCGTGCTAAGGCTATTTTGTAGCCAAACTCGCTCGTTTCCCTTATCGAAAGGGGACACTTAGGCAAATGTACCCTATAACTAGCATGAGGTGCAAAAACCTAAAATGAGGGGAAAAGGGGTTTGAGGAGCATGCCAAATGATAAAAACTAAGAAAAATGCATGAAATGTAGTGAACATGCAAATATGCACTAACAAAAGGGGGACGGCCTATTGGGTCTAGCGTTGGACTAGCCCATTCTATGAATTCCTACTAGCGTTGGACTAGTGGAAAACTACATTCATCCATCACATTCATCTACGACTATAGAAAGCAAGTAGACATGCCAAACACTCATAAACACATAGCACGTAACACTTAGCATGCTCGACTAGATGCAAGAGTCTAATAAAGCAAATTAACACATAGCAACAAAGGCAAACAACCAAACTAATAAACCTATTACATTTGCTAGCTAGGCACACGTCTTCAATAGGTCTTCATCAAATGCTCCTCCAAGCCCTATCTATTACAAGCCAAGAGGTGTACACATACCCCATAAAAGAATAACTTAACAAAAAGCAAAAGTAAATGAAATAAAGGAACTAAAGAAAGGCAAGGAAAGCAAATTAGACATGCAATTCTCACTTAGCACGTTGGATCACATAGGAGAGACAAAAGGATAAAGGAATTATACCGCCCCCTTTTGTGGTGCTAATAAGGTGGATAGGACTCAACTTGGGCTAGAGTCACCAAAACAAGAGATAACTTGGGCTAAACTTATCTTCAAAACAATAAAGAGATCAAGGTACCACTTTAATTGAGAAAATTAAAGAAAACATGCAAACACGGGCTCACATGGTCATAAAGTTCTTAAATTCATGCATGAAGTGCAATTTAAACAAAGCATGGTAGTTAATTGAAGCAAACAAGCAATGAAGTTGTAAAATCAAAACTACCAAGGACCAAATTGAGGAGATTATTCAATTGATTGGGTCATAGTGAAATGAAGGGAGACTTGGGGGGCCAAAATGCAACTTTTGGAAAACATTTGCATGCATGCAGTCCCCCATCTTTTCAGCCAAAACAACTGAAACCATTTCTTTCGGCCATTTCTACTATGGTTATCATACACAAACTTCCGCAACTCCAAGCAAATTTCGGTAAACAAAATTCATGCAGCATTCTGATCCCTCTCCAATCAAACATGGCTACAACTTAATAGCAATGGAATTCTTGGAATATTTTCATGCAAGTTTCATGTAACAAAAGAAGGCAAGAAGCTTCTGCAACAAAACAAACCAAACTGCTGCATTTTCTACTTTCAAACACCAAATTCAGACTCAAACGCATACTTTAATCGAAGTTTTATTGATCTGACATTCAAACTTTAAACTAAACAACAAGACATAAGTTTGACATTCAAACAAGCAAAGTCATAGGAAGAGATCATGCAAACACTCTGAAAAAAAAATACAAGAATGGTTCGGCACTTTGAAGATTTCTGCATTTGAAACTTTCTGCAAATTTTCCAGCCATGTTTCCTGCCATTCTTGTGTTCATTCTAATGCAACTTTTCCATCCAAACACAGCTAGAATCTTAAACAAACATCACCACCTTGACCTCAACAACAAAATCACCAAACTCAAAAATCCAAATAAGCTAAACGACTTAGCAGGAGGATAGACAAATCCAGAAAATTTCTGCTATTGCAGCATTTTTGATCAAAAGCCCAAACACAATCCATTTAAATGTGATAACATATGCACTAGACATTCAACCAGTAACAAAACGGCCATCTTGAGCATTTACATACATATTTTTATCTACCCTGCTCCATTAAATTCACAAGTACAAAGCCCAAATAACAAAAAAAAAAAACGCAGCAGAGGTGTGAAAAGAAGGAAGCTTGCGGATGAGCATGCATATCTGGAAACATAAACATTATGCAAAAGGATTCGGCAGCCAGCTTGCGGTATGACAAAG